CACAAATGGATGATACCACTCAACTACAAGAAGGCCACCGTTGCTCGTCATAGTGCCAGACGTCGAGTAACTGTATTGTAGGGCAGTGCTATTGTAGGGCAGTGCTGGTAAGCAATACTGAGACCTGGGTTCAAACGCGCCATTCGCCCGACATAAAGACGAGCAATTCCAGTTGTTCACGTCAGTCATGAGTACTCTCCGACGGCAAACGCTACTGTTTTGTCATCCGGTGAAATTGGCATCAACAGCAAATTAGACGCGCTTGTTGAATTGGAGGTACCATAGGTTAAAGAGCTTCGGGGCACTGGGATAGGGTCATTAGTGAAGGAGGGACTTTCTTAACTTGAAGCCAACATATAACTTTTTTATCTTCTCCCCTCATTGTTTTATTTGAATAAAACCGACGGCGCTTTTGAATGGGATGATCTAATAAATTGGCGAGATTCACATGCTCTCCAATTACCCCTGACAAAGTTATTCATCGAGGCAGAGATTTCGAAGATCGTACCAGAGGTCAAGAGACTTGAAACCTAATGCGGAAAAAAAATAAAATGTAATAAACTAGAATTTTCCTCCAACTACAAGCAACTCTATGAGAAGACACTCTTTTGTACGTATCATATAGTTTATAGTATCGCAATCAGACGAGGCAGTGGCAGTAGGAGCGGAATAAACGCACCTTCTGTAGGCCTTGCCCTACCAACGGTTAAAAAATCAAAAAAACAACCAGCAATGAAAAGGCCGCGTGTGGGTTCATTCCATCTCTTGAGAAACAGCCTAGTCTGATGGCAATATTACAACTGTGTGTTCAGGGATCTAACATAAGAGCTAGTGACAAGTGACACCAAGGTAGTTCTTGAGATGTGCAACACTTACCAGCAGTCTTTCGGAGGTTGAAAGGTCGGAACACTTTAATCAAAGTTCCGCATATCGATGTCGCAAGCTTCACCAGGAACAAAGCTTACATACAGTCTTCAGTGGAATGTGCAGCGGTACAATTGCTGCTACTATATACTGCTAGAAAAAGAGACATTGCCTACAGAGACAAAGTTCGATGTCTGCCGTCAAGGCAAACGCTCATCCGTCGCGATGGTTTTCTGTAGGCTTGATTCCAAACTGTTATGAGGAATAAGTTTTTGAATCCGTTTCAGTGCTCTGAGCGTAACCTCTTTGAATAGTGTATGCTGCGCAGGCTTCATAGCAATGAATCCATGATAGATTTCTACAACTCCGTTAACCCTATTCCATCCACAACCCAGAGTGGTCGGCTCGTTCTCCAAGCTTGGAAACTCGTTTGGGCGCACTTCCACACTGTCAGCACGGGTCTTGCGTACTAATTTCACAACATAACAACGTCCATCCTAGGATCTCCTGACGCTGAATGTCAGTGCTGCCGTATACCCAGTGCATGGTTGTCAGTTACATTCTGTGTTTTTCAATGTTTTCTTTTTAGGTGTTCTGGTTTCTGTTTTGTTGTCTTACACGGTGTCTTGAACAAATCAATAAATATGGGACTGACTCGCCTCAAAAACAAAAAATTCCTTCATATCATAGTTTATTTCAGACAATCCATCTGTATCGATTCATCCTTCACACTAATCCCTGCGAAATCCCTATACAATCAGCGGTTTGCTTCGGTGTCAGGTTTCCCACCGTCGTTTGCATGGCATTGTTCGCACTTTTACAGGTGATTCAAATGTTTGGTGTGCATTAGTGGCAGAACTATGACAAACTTCGAGCATCGAAGCATTTGCTCTCGGTGCTCTGTTTTTGGTTAGTTTTACCTGGGAACAGTGCAGTGTACCTCACAGAAATTTGGAAAAGCTGCTGTGTAAGTGCAACCCGCCCTAGGAGAAGGGTATGGGTCTGACCACCCTCCCCCTTTCCGGCAGCAACGGCATTTCATGCAAGGTTTTGTGCATCGCGTATTCTAGAGTTGGTTTATTCGTAGAACTGTTGCAAGAGTCCCGCTTGAGTCCGCTAAATTGTTTAGTTTGAGTGGAGTATACGAAAAGCGGGGCTGTAAAATACTAGGATTGTACGCTAGAATCTTAATGATGTGCTGTACGCTTAATTGCCATGTTCGAGGAAGACAGGCCGCAGAAGTTTGCAACTCTTCCCGCTAGAGGATACGCGGAAATGAAGCTGAGACTGCAGCACGAGGCATTGAACGTTAGCTGAAACGGTGAAGTGGAAAAGTTTTCTGCGAAGGAGAAAACGAAGGCTAGAAATAGACCATATAAAATACAGCGAAACAGCGCACACAGAGGGCTTCCTCAAATTGTGGTGTCCATCGCGTTAAGCGCTGTACATCGAGGAAATGTATAGCGCTCAACATGCGCTTAACATGGTGTCAAACAGCGTGTAAAGAACACTAAGCGAATAGCAGGAAAGCTTACGCCGCTTGACAAGCATAAAAGGGAAGAACATCAGGTTTGTGGCTTCACTGCCGTATGTACTACACTGGGTACGAAGATTACATTTCTTCCATGGAGTTATTGGAAGCTTTTCGAATAAAGCACTGTGATTCTAACATAAGCAATGAGAAATAATGATTTTTGGTACCGTCTGGCTTCTTACCCTACATTCATCAATTGATCTTTGGTATCACCTGCGTCACAATCAATGCGATCGTGGTGAGCTCCCTTACATCAGTTCTGATGATAGGTAAGCGGGTTGCCTTGCCCTGATGAAATAGAGGTGAGATGGTTCTTCTTCTGAAAGTATTGCCGTTTAGAGTCCAAAGAATTTGCTACTGGTCAAAGAAAGTGAACGCGTCGAAAAGGATAATTTATTATAGAAATTGATGATGTACGAGATGTTCGAGACCTCTGAAGAAGCACTTGCTGAAACTCCAAGCCAAATAAAGACCACCATGAAAAACCTGCTTGGCACACAAGACAAGCTACATATTCATATGCTCAGTTAAAAAAAAGCCGGACGTTGGGAATACACGAGGTTTCTTCGTGGAGTGTCTGAGATAAAATAAATGCTTGCATGGCATTGGGATATCTGCTGTGTTCAAGGAACGTGCGGCCCCTACACTAAGGCAGCGTACAGACTTCGCGACGGCAGCGCTTCGGTCGCGCATTCGACGCGATCGATGCAGCAGAAAGCATCCGCATCGATCGTAAAATCGCGTGACCGAGGCGCTGCCGTCGCGAAGTCTGAACGCTGCCTAAATAATAGAGGGGCTTTAAGGTGTCACTGGAGAAAGGCTCGCTCATGAGACACAAAGCAATAAACTTCTAGTCTTGAAAGCCTATAAAAGTTCGTAGCCTTGAATCGTCGTTCTGGTTTGGTCTTACTTCGATGATCTCGAGGATTCATCTTGACATTGAGTGATTGGAGGTGAGGCACTGATACTTTCATGCTGCAGCAACCACTTCGTTTGCAGAATTATGAAAGTGTCATGCATTTGAGTGCTCTTTTTCGATCTTTTTTACAATTCTGCGATACATGAGTAAGAAACTTGTGGACTTCTCATTAATACGCAACAGCGTTGAGTGTTATGTGATCCGCGGCTCTCCAGCGCGCTTCCCGTCTCACCTATCAGTGAATCCGGTTGTCAGGATTCCGCTACGACTATTGGTGCTGTGCTGTTCCACTGAAACACGTAGTGTTCTCAGTTATACAATCTTTCTGCTTTCAGTGTGCTGTGGTGAGCGCTACATTGAGACAAAACTTTTCAGACAGCAATGGTTATCGAACGATCGCTAGCATTGTGGAAACGCAAGGAATACGATCACTATGGATGTAATATTGGATTCGCAATTTCCGCAATATGTGTGAGGAACTTTGGAGAATTTTCGAAATCACATACCTGATGAAGTTCGAAAGCGGTAATAGAATGACTAATCTATAGTTATCAGGCGCCGTCATCTAACGAAGCGTTTTACGCTCCCTATAGAGAGCGTTAATAACAGATTAGAAAAAGCTTCAAGTCTGACGGGAAGTTATTACCTCCAGAATCGAAGTTTTGATTGCTAGGGGAGATGTACAACAATGATTTGATCTTTGGAATATGAGGCGTATTTCATGGGAGATCTGTTTGCAGAGCTCAGGGCACACACAGCAATGTGCGCGAACGGATCCATTCACAGCAGCAGGTGTTCTCCTTTTTTCCGTATTCCAAGTTCAATGGAACACGTCAAGCAAAATATTCATAAAAACGTTGGTATGGTAGTGGAACTGATAGAGCATTCGTAACTCAAAGGCAAGCATTGAAGCCATGGGATGCTTTTCCTCTAGGCAAACCTCGACGTAAGCCTTCTAGACGTCATCGTGCTCAACGTAATCCCTCTCGCGAGCAGTCTTTAGGCCACTCAGACTTCTCTCTTTTTTAGGACTAGCATTCCAGAACTAACCGTAGAAATCAACTGAGCGGGCGACTGGGGGAAGGGAATAGCGTAAAATCTGGCAGCTCGGAAGGCCACTTGCGAAGTGCACCTTAGTCCAGTCATGCGAGTAGCTTCACTGAAATCCATCATTTTAGCACATTTGCACCTGCTGCGATCGAAAGGAAGAAAGAAAGGCAGGGCTTGGCATTGCACCATTTGTCTGTGGATAGCACTCTTTATTCGTTTTTAGTGGGCTTCCTTTCAACGGTTTTATATCGCCCCGAGGCTGACGATGACGGGAACGTCTTTTGATCTCCCCTCACGTGATGTCGAAGGACTTTATTTTTTTCGCAAGGATGAGGCATTAATACATTCAAAAATGATGCCATGACGAATGGCTGGGATTCCCACCTTTGTAGCACCCGTGGTTGTCAAACGTGGGTTTGAGTTTCATCCTCATTGCGGCGAGGCGCGGTAACTACCAGAATATTCACAAACTGGCCTACTTGTCTTGCTACGAGGAAGTAGCTAGGCCCTAGAGCGAGTGCACACACGGAACGCCATTCCCAGCGCTTTTTCTCCAAACTACCGGGAAGCAACTCCCACAGCCCCGAATGTGCAGTGACCATGAAATTTGCAGGGAGACTCCTGACAAATAGCATGAAGTCTCTTCGAACCAAACCTAAGGAAAATTATAATAAGGTAATATAGTAGTAATATAATAAATATAATAACAGAAAGTTTCGAGGTAGTGACAGTCAACGGTTTTTATTTGAATGGTAGTAATTTGGCATTCACTATCTTTTTATCACGTGTTCAGGTGATACTATCTCTAATTCTCACCTCTTGGTCTATGGGTAAGGCCGAGCTTTCAACCGTGACAGTATATTGCTCGGGCATTACTACTGAAACGGCCGAGCGAATAACAATAATGTGCTTCCTCTTATGCAGTATTGACATTATCTCACTAGTTGGAATGGCAATGCTGCATTTCTTCAATGTCGCTGCAATGAAAAGGTGGTCACACTTTCTAAAAACTTCTTGCTTGAGTACTCAAAAAGTTTCTGTCGGCACGATTCTCGTAATCGTTCGCGCGAAGCCACTAGCGCTGTGGAAAACATCTGCAACAGGGATCACATAGTTCTGTTAGACAAAAGGGTAGGCAACTCCAAGCGACAATAGTGATTGGCCAGACTTCTACCGAGGAGATCAACGTAACTGGTCGCAAGCCCCTGGCTTCATTGCCACGTGTTTTCTATTGGTGCGTTCAGTGCATCGCTATTTTGGAGAGAGGTATCATCTTCTCGTGCAGTGTTGTCTGAGAATTGACATTCCAGCAAGTTTTCCGATCTGCAATCTTCCTATCAGCTACATGAAAATGACACCGTGTTTCGACTTCTTATTCCACTGGTCGTCTTTAATGGAATCTGCCATTTAGCATTTTCGATATCTAGTGGATTGTTCTTGATATTTCGAGCACACTTTTCATATATAACATACAGAACGACATCCGCAGCCACTTACGTGAGTACTGTCAGGTTTTGAATGTTACTATGTACTGCAATACGAAAGTGTGAGTGCGACCATATAGCATTGTGACTCCCTTCCTTCAGACAGTTCCATTCTTCACCTTGGTATCGCCATGTCTGCTATGGTTTATTATAAGAAAGTCGAAGCGAACCCGTGCGGAGAAGTTGAAGATGCTCGGGCGGCAAATTGGGAATGAGAGGGACATGTACTTCAAGGCATACAGCAAAATGTGGAACCAGTGAATTAGATATACGATACGCTTACCAGCAGAATGGATCACTACCATGTGTAGGGTGAACGGATCCGTAGCTGCAGTAGCTGCGGAAACGTACCCTTTCATCACTCTTAAGCACGATGAAGTAAAACTGAAATCGTAGCTGGAGCTGTTTTGCATACGAGTGGAGTTGAGACCGCAGTCCTCCAGTGTCATTTCGGCGCCCACATGAGAGAAGGGCACAATCCCACAGTGGGTAGATGTTCACGTCGCACATGGTAAGCATCGAGCGTGAGCGTACAGCGTCTCTTCAGTTTGCTAGCTCTCAGTGTACATCTCTGATTCCTTGACTATTGGACTCCTCAAAAGGTAAATTGAAACCAGGTTATTTCGTCGCAGCAGAGCTGTACAGATTATGCATATGTATACTTGCATAAAAGGGATTAAACTCCATGCTCACAAAGTGGAGATTTTCGGTGCGGACGCCTAGTCAAGGACGTTTGTTCTCTCCAATTACCACATATTCCCATTGAGCGAGGTATGTAGAACATCACTCATAGTAATGTAACTCTCACTACTTTCAAACTGTCAAATGAATGCGTAATAAAGGAGTTTAAATGAATGCGTAATAGAGGAGTGTCAGTCAATTTTTTACAGCATTTTCCACAATGTTCAGGAAACGATGCAGGCCTATAGTTTCGAGTAGCAAGATTTTTTCTGGTAAAAATTGTTCGCCTTGCCACTTCAGGTCACGTAAAAATTATAAGAAATTAAATCTTCGAAGAAAGATAAGCATACTACCCTGAAGAGCTCTATCGGACGGTGTGGACTTTATTTGAAACACTTCCGACATTTGGCGCAAAATTTCAACCAAGAAAAGAAAACGCCAAGAAAACGCCAAAAAACGGGCAGCCCAGTACCGTCTGAGTGTACGGAGGTGGATGTACGGAGTTTTCAGTAGGGTACGGTTGTGGAACGTGTGCGGCGTTATGGAACGCAAGGAACACGAGCATTATATATTTAGACAGGATTTGCAATTCTGTAGCATGTGTGAGTATGTGTGAAGAAGTGAATAATGAATGAATAGAACCTGCTGCAAACTTTAACGACCTGCCTATAATTCTGAGGTTTTGGGTTTCAGAAGTCAAGCAGGGAGTCCCTTGTTTCTGCAGTTCGACTTAGCATGTGAATAGAACCAGCGGTAATCACCGCTAGTCATCACACGATTCGTTGACATCTGTGATACTATGGTGAGAAGTACGAAAAAGTAGTCGCTGTAAAATAATAAGATATTGCAAAAATCTTGACAGATCTTTCATTTCGGAAATGTGCACCATTCATGCGAGCATTTTCATTCAAAGCTACTGTGTGGGCAGGATGGCCAAAAAGTCGGAGCACACGCGAAAATGGCTCTGTGGAATTGTCTTTTTTCGATAAATTTCCTGTTTAGACCACTTCAGCAACTCCCAACAGTAAATTCCAACAGGGATTCCGGATGTATGTGTTCTCTTGTACCCACGCCTCAGGGCTTCAAACCCAATGTGACGGAGTCGATCGCAAGTATCGCTTCCAGATCGGTCCAGGCATTGATGACACTTCGTGTAAAATGCCCCAAGGGGTGATTGTTCACTTTTCAGCATCCCATCTTCAAGGCCTGATACAGAGGAATTATGTGAGTATAATTCGCGTCAAAATGCCCAAAGGGATTGTTCACTTTTCAGCATCCCATCTTCAAGGCCAGAGGAATTATGTGAGTATAACCCTAGCTACAGGGAGACCTACGTTTCTATTTAGTGAAATCGGCAACCGCGTCCGAAGTAGGCCATCACCGGTCACGAGAATACTAAGAGGCCCATCAATTACCTCCGAAAAACCGCGAAGACCGATGGCAGCAGGGACTATTTCAATTTTCAGTATTTAATAGTACATATAAATTCATGGCAATACATATGGCTATGTTTCTTCGAACAGTGCGCATAATTCCTATACTTTATGCCATCACCAACACAAGTTATCCACGCACTTTTCCTTCAGCTTTCCTCTCGCAGTTCGCAGTCAGACTAGCAAGGCGGCTGAACACGAGTAATCATGGGTAGTGTGGATGTGCACAAGCCATGTGCCCGAAAATATCGTACTCGCTCCCTATGGGAACCACCACAAAGTAAGTTTGATTGCTGTCTGATGGAAGACCTTTGCGTGTCAGAGCGCAGTATGTGTGAATGTGGCTACCGGTGATCATAGATCATTTACCTTCTAGCTATAGGCAAAAGTGAAATGCTATTACAACTTGAGTCGAACGATCTGAAAAAAGCAAGGGGAAGCACCGAGAGGAAAGTGCAACCACTGCTGAACTGGTAAGAATGGAAAATAGACCTAGGCACTCTAAATACGGAAGCAACGCAATTAATGAGACCAACGCATAAGTTAGGTATTGCTTTCGGCACTTTTTACACTTTACTGCCTCAGTCATCCGGAATCGAGCCAGTTTTCGACCAAATTTTTTCTCCATGAACAAATTTGGCTCAAATGCTGTATCTTCGGGTAGTTTGACCTCCTGAATACAAATATGACATTCGCTTGACTCGAAACCTCGTGGCGCCCTCGTCACAGGCGCGAGTGGTTGTGGTATTTTGGCGCCAACGCCTGTGGCGCCAGCGCCAAAAGGTTTCTTGGCGAGAGGATGTGATATTCGTGTTCAGGAGGATAATCTACCATTGAAGAGAGGTTTTCGGCAAATTCGGCAACCTAGGGAGTTTTGGCGCTAGCGCCTGTAGTGCGGGCGCCAGAAGATTCGTGCAGAGCGGATGTGATATTCATGTTCAGGAGGTGAAATTACCTAAGAAAACACGTTTTTAACCGATTCCGTTCACGGAGAAAAAAGTCGGTCAAGAAGTGGCCAGATTCAAGATGATTGGAGCAGCAAAGAGTACATAGTGCCCTTTCTTCCAGAAAGTTGGATGACGAGTTAATTAGGTCTTAAGGTTTGTTTCAACGTCAGTTGAGCTCTGGTACTCTGATGGGATACTGACCTTCATTTCACTCATAACTGACATACTTGTTTCGAAGAAACGCCTCAAATTGGATGGAAGTTCATTTCTTCAGAAGTACATTAACCATTTTGGTCACTACTCTCGGAGAGGCAAAAGAGCACGTTCATCAAGGATCAAGAATCTGGTCTTGTTACCAGTTGCTTGCGAGGTGAATTCCCTAACTGCTCAGCTCTACTGATACAAAGATAGCACCACTCCGCTGCCTTTATGAGATCGCTTTCATGTATTAGTGGGTAAAAGCACAGATAATAAGAAATGGTAACACTGCTCACTGAAGCATTCGGCAAAGTCTAAAAGGAGATTCGGGTTTATTTTTTCGGAAGACGCGTAGTTAACTATGCATGTCATTGCAAATAGCTTGATCGGCCTCTTGTTGTTCTCTACTAATCGAACGGTTCTCTATCCCCTCCATCGGCCTCCAGCTAATATTCTAACATTGCTCCGACTTACAGTGTCGGCAACCCTGTTCCTCTCAGAGCTTATGTTAGATAGGGTGATTCTCAAATTCGAGTACCACGAATAGTAGTAATACGAATAGTAATAGTATACCGATTGAGTTTCTGTATCCTAAGGAATGGATAAAGTTCGCTTTAACGATAATTCGCACTCTAACCTCGTGCTTTCAGAGCAGCTCTGCTATCTACTGAGTTCACATTTTATCTGTCAGCTTAAAGACAAACGTACACGCACCTTTCTATATGTGGGTCCGTAGCTGTTCTAGGTTGGTACGCACTGCCTGCATCAGTTCAGTGTACCTGGCCATTGAAAAGGTGATCGCAACTTTCTTAAGACGCTCTTTTCTGACCGATTCGAGCTTCCCCGCTGGTAGATAGCGACAGCGCACGCTCCTTTCAGAGCTGTTTTTACGTTTAGTTCTCAGTATACCCTCAGTGCCTCTTCACACGAACACACTATTTCCTGCATGAGGAGCAGATGAGGTGAGTGTAGAGTGTGGATGTAAAGTCGTATAGGATGTGCCCAAGACATCGGTAACATCGAGCAATCAAAGGCACTGGCGACCAGCAGTACCTGCACTGGCGAATTTGCCAAAACTGCACAAGGAAGGTTCCTTCAGTCTCAGGCAATCATAGAATTCTTCCAAGTCTTCAAACTTCAAAACAACAAACTTTTCCGACTTGCGATTTTCTTATCAACTGCGTGAGAACGACAGCGTTTTTCTGCTTCTTCCATTCATGATTTTCAATGAGATCTGCCATTTAGCCTTTTCGATACCTAGCGGATTGCTCATGACATTTATAGGAGACTTCTCATTTTTGCCCTATAAACATTTCCATCATCATACATTAGTCAAGGTTGAAGCGAATTCAAATTGTAACCTACGACTGACATCAAGTGATAGCTACTCGTGAATATTCTTCTCTTCAGAACAGTTCCGCCTATGAACTGGGTGGCACCATTCCTAATGAGAAAGTTGGAGCATAATCAGAAAGTTGGAGCGGCGTCCTTGTGACAACGCTGAAGATGCTCGGATGACAACTGGACAACGAAAATGGATTATCTCAATGTACTCGTCGTGTATGTTGACTTTGGAATTCTTCAAAAGGACTCATGGATTCGTTTAATAGGTCACCTTCACCGCCTGTGCTTTAAGCCACTAGAACGATTACCCTCATCCCCATCCCCCACACCTTTTCAGAGTTCCCATTACGTCATCCATGCTCAGCATTGCTATTATGACAAATTGTTGACAATCCTAATCATAGCAAAGGTTTTCTCCGAATAGCAGTGGAGATTGTATGCAACAGTCATATCGACTTCAACTCGTTGCGTTCTATGATTCAGCAGCAGTATACCTGCAGAACTGCCAAGAAAGACGCAAATAAATTCCAGAAGTAACTAGTTGCGCTCGTTTTCCAGGGACGGTAGTAATCTATCTAAATCTCGCAATCAAATGGATGAGTTGCTCGCGGTTATGCAGAACAACGATGACGTATGAGCGAGGCAACCACGCTGGAAA